TAAACTATGACCCCGGGGCTTTAACCCGGTTTCAGTGAAACAATTATAAGTCACTTATTCATTTGGGATTTTGTTTATGCAGCTGAAAGCACCCAAACTACTTGGCTAAGGTTCACGGAGACCGTTACATCCAAGGGCTCTGTGAAGTGCATTTCTCATTAGAGCCTTACCTTAATGCTAATCCATCTTAAATAAGTAGTCATTCAATGAATGTCCTGCATGTTACACTAACCTCAAGATGGTTTTGGCAAGCTACGTGAGGAAACTTTACCTTTGCTGTTGTGTAGTCCACCACTTTCTTTGTCGTCAGGTCACACTTGTTCCCAACCAGTAGCTTGTTGACATTTTCACTGGCGTAGCGGTCAATCTCCTGGAGCCACTGTTTGACATTATTGAAGGACTCCTGGGACAAGAAACCGATAAACCTGAGCAGTGAGGTTTGAACTTTGGACATTAGACAGAAGATCACAGGAGACGCTCTATGATAGACATAATTTCAACTTAGCCAGCCATCAAATGTGTACAAAGAGGAATGCTTTCTCATTTCTCTGAGGACAGCATGGCTACACTGTATACTCTGATCAACGCCATCTTTAATGACTCTCAGCTCATGAAATGGAAACAGTGGTTGTCTTATTTCTTTGGACCTCAGGAGCCCAGAAACAAAGCAGTCAGATTGTGTTTTGTCATTTAGACAGTAGATGATTAAACTTCATAGTTTATTCTGCACAAATGATCAGTGCTGCTGAAAAACATGGATGTATTACGTGTGTGAATTATGTGTCGTCTGACTGACCTGATCTGTGACATCATACACTACGATGATACCATGAGCACCTCTGTAGTAGCTGGACGTGATTGTACGAAACCTTTCCTGTCCCGCTGTATCCCACTGTGAAAGCATAAAGATTATCCGGTTGGTAACTGACTTTGCATGAACACAGACAAAGACAACACACAAAATAACAATACGATTATCTCTACACTGAAAAGTTCACTGGACAAGAATTTCTAATAGCAACAAAAATACAAAAATACAAGCGTCCTGAGTTGTTAGGTCATCCACTCGTCATGTGGTTTGTAATTAAAGTTGCCATGTTCTTGTTTTTCCTTCTTGTGAGTATCCATGCACAAAATGAAATTAAAAATAGCGTGTTTGTTCTAAAGCCTAATATAGATTTTCCACTGTTGTTGTCAGTAATCTAAAAAAAAGTACTGGGCAGCAGCTTGGAAACAAGACGTAGCAGTAAGTTAGACTAAAGAGCGCACCGTCTTTCATACGAGAAGAAAATAATAGGAAATTAACACAGTTATGTCAGACTAATCTCTTCATGTTTCTGGTTGCACACATTTCCAAACACAGACATGAAAATGAACTGAAAGATGGTGACTGACGGACATGAAGGAGAGTACTTACAATCTGAAGTTTAATGGTCTTTCCATCTAATTCTATAGTTCGTATTTTGAAATCCACACCAATAGTGCTTATGTAACTTTCTGTGTATGTGTC